CGATTTACTTGATTACTTCGGAGATGACAAATTTTCTCGTGGGTGCCTCAACGTCTCGATACGTCTCTTCTCAATGATTTTGTTATTGATTTTGGTTTAGTCTGGTTTAGTTTGATCTCCATTACCCCTTCCAGCTTGTCCCTAAACCAACAGTCGATGGGGAAGAATTTGGAGTTAATCTTCATAATTTAGAGTTCATCAGTCGGTGTTGGTGCACGAGAATGACGAGAGAGAGAGAGGTAATTAATTTTTGTTTATTTTAATTGTTTTAAATTGCTGATAATAAAACAAAAAATGGAAAATTAAATAATAAGGTCAAAATCATCTTTACAATAAAATTCAAACCAAATTGGACCAAACTTGCAAGAAAATGAAACTTTTGGACCATTAATGCTAGCCGAAACCGTTTTGGCCCAAACATGCTAGTTTTGACATACCACAGGGATCATTCTTGCAATTTTGTCTAAAAAATAAAACCATTTATCAGTTTTAGATATTTTAGATAAGGATATCAACTTACATTTTAAAATATTCAGATTTATATAATTAAACAATATTATAAAGACAAAATTGCAAAAATGGTCTCTGTGGTATGCAAATTTTTGGGGTTTTAGTCCAAACCACGACTTTTTCGGATTGGTGGTCCTTTTGAGCTAGTTTCTTTGCGTTTTTGGTCCCTCGGTAAACTGAAAAGACTATTATGCCCTTCTGATATATTTTTTATGCTTTTCTATTTAATTTAAATGAAAAATAAAATAATTACCTAATTTGGGGCCCACCTTTCTCTGTCTCTCTCTCTGTCTCTCTCTCTCTCTCTCTCTCGTAGGAAAGCACCATAGATCTGTACAAACATGTTAATGTCCCTGTGACTTCCTAATACCCCCAACCCCAAATTTGAGAACCCCAAGAAAAGTAGAAAAGAACGATCGATCATTCGATCTTCAAGCTTCCTACTCCAGGAACCGAAGTTCCACTCGTTGCTGATGAATTTCGTCTTCTTCACCCATCAAACGAGCCATGTGATGAATTTCTTCTTCTTCACCCATCAAATAACTATAGTGAAATTACCTAAGTGATCTGAAAGTCGCATTACCCATCCTCTGTTTGAATCTCTGACTAATTGACTTCTAGCTTTCCAAACCCAAAAAAATCCAGAACCAGTCCTAGCTTTCAAAGTGTATACAAAGAGAAATAATAGATCTGCTCATCCCCTCATCTTTTTTACAATCGATGCAGAACCTGGTGGCAACAAGTCTAAAAAAACGAATCAAGAACAAGGTAATGGAGGTGGGTATGTAAAGAAGATGATGCAGGAGGTGATGCCTGGTGGTGTAAGGTTTGTAGAAATGATGGAGGTTGATACAGGAGGGTAATTGAGGTGATGGTTGGGGCGTAGATGGAGATGGGTCTGCAAATTTCTGGGTTTGTAAACTGGGAACCAAATATCCGATTGTGTGGTGTATGTATATGCGTATGTGAGGAGAAAATGGGTAATGGATGAGTTGGGTTTGGATTTTTGAAGAAGATGAAGGTGTTGAAGAATTTGAGTTGCAGGTTAGATTTTAAGTTTAAGCTCTTGGTTTTGATTTGAGGTTAGAATTAGATTTCAACAATGGTGGTCAAAGGGTGGAAGCAGACGGTGGTCAAAGGGTGGTGGTGGCAGACGGTGGTCAAAGGGTGGTGGTTGTGGAAGATATTCTTAAGTTCATGAATATGTTCTTGCGTGTTCTTGAGATTATGAAGATGTGTTCTTAAGATTATGAAGGTGTTCTTGGGTGTTGGGGGAGAGAGAGAGAGAGAAAGAGAGAGAGGTGGGTCCTCTATTACTTTTTCAATTGTTAAAATAAATAAATAAATATTAAATTTTATGAAAAATGAAAGAAAAATGAAAAATAAATACCCCAAGGGTATTATAGTCATTTCAATTTTTCGAGGGACTATTTTCACATACAAACCACTCCAAAAGGACCACCAATCCAAAAAAGTCGTGGTTTGGACTAAAACCCCAAAAATTTGCATACCACAGGGACCATTTTTGCAATTTTGTCTATTATAAAATGTAATTATCCTAATCAATTTTAAAACATATCAAAACCCGAAATTTTTGAATCCGACAGCTTATCACGTCGTGATAAACAATTACCACGTCGTGACAAGGCAAAAACGCAGGGCACCACGTCGTGGTGGCGGAACATAATGCAGATTCTGTTTAGCTTCTACTTGTTCAAGTTCATATTAGTATCAATTCAATAGAAAACTAAACCTATGCTCTGATACCACTGATGAGTTTTCAACATAACATACAATCATATGTGTGCATGCAACCCTAATAAGACCTATGTCTTCTCTAATTGAACATACAATATGAACAACAATGTGTAAACCCTAGATCTCTAGTAAATAATCGAAAATCACATAATGAGGGTTATAATACATACCTTTGATTATTATGTAGTAATAAAAATCCCAAAACCTTGAAGATGTTAAAACTTGAGAGCAAGTGTCACAAGTGTAACACCTCTAATGAATCACAAACACACTTAGCCAGAGAATGAGATATGAGAGAGGAGGAAGGAGCTTCAATTTTCGGCTACTCTTCTTAGGGTTTCATGTGGACGAAAATACCAAGGGTGAGGCTCTTTATATAGTGAGGTGACTTAGAGCCAAAACTAGGGTTAGAAGTAGGAAACCTTAATTCCTCAGCTTAAGGACCAATCAACCCACAACCTTCCATCCAATAGCCCTTGGACGAAAATTCTAGGGCCTTCCTAGAAGTTTTCGTCCAAGCCTCTTTAGGGAGGTACCAGAGCTTTTTTCCTCAACTATCAATAAATTGCCAAACAGCCCCTGTACTTTTAATTAATTCAATTAATCCCAAAACTAATTCCAATTAATTTCTGATTAACTATTAATTAAATAATATGATTTCCAATTAATATATTATTTCCATAATACATTAATAAATCATTCATTTCAATTTATTAATTAAATAATAAATTCTTCTTATTTCTCAATAGGTCATCCTGTCTAGTTGCTAGTATGAAAGACAACCTAAAAATGACTATGCTACTATCAATTCAAGTATATACCAATTATAGTTATGAGCTTAGACACTTAATCTAACAGTTTCTACATATTCTTGCTCATAATTTTAAGAATCGCGTCATCATGAGTCTTTCGTCGTTCGGGAGAAACGATTAGTAGGCACTTTAGTCGAGTTTGTAATGCAGTCATACAATTGCATATTCGTTTTCTTAAGAAAACCCGAACATGTTCCCAATAACTCTACCGATCAAAGATGGAAATGGTTTAAGAATTGTTTAGTAGTTTTAGATTGAACATATATAAAGTGCCTAGTTCCAGCCGAAGAAAAGCCTAGCTATAGAACAAGAAAGAATGGCATTGCAACAAACGTTCTAGGGGTTTGTTCCCAAGATATGCAATTTATCTGTGTATTATTGGGATGAGAGGGGTCGACTGCGGATGGTAGAGTTCTTCAGGATGCTCTTCTTATACCATATGGATGGAAAGTTCCAAGATCGGGTATGTAAATCTTATTTATAATGTTTTTAATTATAAATCTTACTTATAAAATGTTATTAACTATAAATCTTATTTTCAGGTTATTATTTAGTTGATGCCGGATATACAAATGGAGAGGGTTTTCTAGCCTCGTATAGAAGGCAAAGGTATCACTTAAATGAATGGCGTCATAGACACCAACCAACTATAACAAATGAATTCTTTAACATGAAACATTCATCATCAAGAAATGTTATTGAACGATGTTTTGGCATTTTGAAGGGAATATGAGGAATATTAAAGGACAATTCATATTATCCAATTGAAATGTAAAATAAGATCATAATGACATGTTGTTTACCACATAACTTCATAAGACAAGAAATGGAAGTAGATCCTTTTGACAATGATTGTGATCGGGATGAGGGAACTAGAGATTTTGGACCTGAAGATGTTGATACTATTACTTCTATAGGGACTTCGAATGAATGGACCATATTTATAGATAATTTAGCCGAGTCCATGTTTGCATCTAGGGGTGCAACTAATTAAATTGACATTTTGCTTATCTATTTATAATGTATCGCTATGTTGGACAAATTGTTGTATTGTTTGCTTATCGTTATGTTGGAAAAAGTGTTTTCTTGCTTATTGTTTTGTTGGAAAAATTATTGCTTGCTTATCGTTGTTGGAAAATTGTTCAATTTCTAAAATTAGTTGTGATACTTATCTATTGTTTTTTGTTAAGTTTATATAGGTACGACAAGTCAAATTAGAAATTATAAGACATGGACAAACAATGAAGAAGCAAAGCTAGTTGAGGCGTTGGTGAATATGACAAATGCTGGAGGATTTAAAGCCGATAATGGTTTTAAGTCGGGTTATTTACAACACCTTGAGCAAGCATTGAAACAATCACTTACGAACTCATGTATTTTACGTAACACACATTGAGTCGAAGATAAAAATCATGAAGAGAGATTGACAATGTGTCTATGATATGGTAAACGGTTCAAACACAAAGCGGGTTTGGTTGTGATTCCGAAAACATTGTGTTACAGCTGAGGATTCGATTTGGGAGGCGTACCTATAGGTACATCACGTTATAATATTTGTATTTTTATAGTTTATAATGAAGCGAATATATATATAGTCAAGAAGTTGGTCTAGTTATTTTATAAACAAAAACATTGAATTTGGAACAAAAGGGTAAAATGAACATTTTTATAATTCAGTCAACAATTCAGATGTTTCAACCAAACAACGTGATCAAAATTCAGATCTTAAAAATGCAGTCATCCTTAAAAATTTCAAGACCTCTTAAAAGTTTAGATCTGCCAAATAACCCAAATACCTTGAAACCGAAAAAAATCTCAACAAATTCGATTTTAGAAGATATTTTCTGTTGGATTTAGTTTCGTTTTAAGTAAAAAAACGAACATGCTCATCGTATCCTGGAGTAGCGATGAGCCCTAATTAAAAGAAAAACTAAATCAAGAAAAACTAAAAAGAAAAGGAAAAAGAAGGAAAACAGATCAAGCCGGCTTGACGCAAACCTCGCGTTCTCAGATCCCCTCCAGCCCCTCCTTTTTACTATCACAACAAAATCAGCTACTGACCTAGATCAAACTTTAATCGCCATGGCAATGGCGATCAAGCTTTCCCTCCTCCTCCTCGTCATCTCATGCTCTTTAATCCCTACCTTTTCACTCTTCGAAGATCAAGTCGGCTTCATGGACTGGTATCTATTTTAGTTTTTATTTATGTACTGCTCTACTCAGTCTTGTGCTAATTTTGAACGTCGTAGATTAATTCGACTTTGGATGTAGGTATCGATATTGATGTTACGCGAGTGCTTAAATTCTGTTTACTTGATGTGTCTATGTATAGAAAACATGACTCTTGATCGATCTTTTTGTGTTGTTCTTTAGTCGAATTCTATTGTTCAAAATCTTGTTCTCTGAATCCCACTGAATTCTTAGTTAGTACATCCGTTTATTGTCTCTGATGTAGTTTTTGAGCTTTTGACTTATGTCTGTTTGTGGTTGCTGGAGGAATAACCCTTTTGCAGAGACATACACACTATACTCAATTTCTGATCTCTCTTTCTCTACATTAATAACGCATGAAGTTTTATCCCTCAGGCATCAACGATACATAGGGAAAGTAAAGGATGCAGTGTTTCACACCCAAAAGGCAGGCAGGAAACGCGTTGTGGTGTCAACTGAAGAAAATGTTATTGCCTCCCTTGACCTTCGTCGAGGCGAGATCTGTAAGTTGTAACATTTGTTAATATTTAGGCTTTTTAATTTTTGTCTTCAGTCTGGATACATTATTGGTGCTAATAACTGATAATTTTGATGGAAGAGTATATGTATATGCTGATGCTTTCTGCTATATGCAGTTTGGAGACATGTTCTGGGAGCAACTGATGTTATTGATAAAATTGATATTGCCCTTGGGAAATGTGAGTACTCTTCTTTTTACTAAAAGTCAGCCCACAGTTTTGCAGACTTGTTTACCAGGATTTTGGGAGTGTTGAACAGGATATATAATTATTTGGTTGCTGCTCTTATCCTTATACCATGTGATTAACTTGTACAATAGATTAAAGGGCAAAGAGGGAAACGAGATGAAACAATTTAGTCATGGCTTAGCAGATAGGTTTTTCTACAGGCAACAGACCTTTCTTTTCTTATGAATTATTATTATTAGTTCACTATAATTTTTGTTATCATCCTAAAAGAGGTTTGTTAATAATCTGTAAAAGTAAATACATGATGATCATATATCAATCTTGATTAAGCTTGAAATAATTATGAAAAATACTAATAAACTGATTGGGCTATAGCTAAAAAGGATATCAGTAACGTATTGTGACAAAAAGAGACAAAGCTGATACTGTGTTACCTTATTTGCTTAAAAAAGTTGGTTTCTTGATTGCATATGTTGCGAGATATGTATATGGTTATTTGATACAATGATAAATAAACTCAAAAATAAGAAGTTGGGAATGTTATCAAGCACCACCCTTAGTCTTATGATGTACATAAATGTTTGTTATTGCTAAAATATCATCTCTGATTCCTCAGATGTCATTACACTGTCATCAGAGGGGAGTATTTTAAGAGCATGGAACCTTCCTGATGGGCAAATGGTGTGGGAGTCTTTTCTATCAGGCTCAAAGTCCTCAAAGGCATTATTAACAATTCCAGTGAGTAACTTTGATAAGCATTCTTATATTTTAGTGCTCTAAGTAAAACAGTAGCTAACTCTTTCTTTATCATAAACTGATTTGAATTACCATTTATTAGCTGTATGAAGTATGTCACTTTATTATCTGAAATATAATCTGCAGGCCAATTTGAAGCTTGATCTGGATAGTCCAATTTTTGTTTATGGTGGCACATGTCTTTATGCCATTTCCAGCATTGATGGAGAGATTCTTTGGAAGAAGGACTTCATAAATGAAGGGTTTGACCAATTCACCAATTATATTATATTTTCTTGTTTCTTGATTGTAGTAGCAGGCTTTTTATATATATTACTTTTTGTGTTTGATTAACAGCATGGATGTTCATCAGTTGATCCTTTCTGAGGGCAGTAACGTAATTCACGCTGTAGGAGTTTTCGATTTATCCGAGTTCAATACATATGAGATTGATGTTAAGAATGGAGGGGTACTGAAACATGTCAGAAAATCATTTCCCGGGGGCATTTATGGCAATATCTTGTCAATTTCAAGTGAAAAATTTGTTGCATTGGATGCTACAAGGTCAATTGTGCTTCTAATAAGCATCACAGATGGACAAATTAGCCTTCAACAAACCCATGTTTCAGATCTCATCCATGGAGTTTCTTTGAACCCACTTATCTTACCTTCAAAGCTTTCAGGAATCTTTTCTTTAACCACAGATACATTCATAGCTTTTATAAAAGTAACCCATGAAGGGAAATTGGAAGTAATGGAAAAAGTAGATAAAACAGTTGTTGTTAGTGATGCATTGGCCCTTTCAGATGGTGAACAAGCTTTTGCACTTGTTCAACATGGAGATAGCAAGATTCATCTCTCTGTAAGGCTTGTTCATGACATGAGTAGCAATCACCTCAAGGAAACTGTCAAGATGGATCACGAAAGAGGCTTTGTTCACAAAATTTTCATCAATAATTATGTTAGAACAGATAGATCACATGGGTTCAGAGCTTTGATCGTAATGGAAGATCATTCATTGTTATTGCTACAACAAGGTGAGATTGTTTGGAGTAGAGATGATGGACTTGCTTCTGTTATAGATGTCACAACTTCAGAACTACCCGTGGAAAAGGTTGGTGTATCAGTAGCCAAAGTTGAAGACAGCCTTTTTGAGTGGCTTAAGGTATGAAAAAGTACATTACTAAATTTTTTTTTTCAAAAATCAAAATACATATAATGTTTTTTCTTGTATTGAAGGGTCATATGCTGAAGCTTAAAGGCACTTTAATGCTTGCAACACCGGATGAAATAGCAATAATCCAAAAAATTAAATTACAAAGTTCTGAAAAAAGCAAAATGACACGAGACCATAACGGATTCCGTAGACTACTGATAGTACTTACCAAATCCCGAAAGCTTTTCGCATTACATTCCGGAGATGGACATATTGTCTGGTCAACTCTACTCCAATCTCTCCGCCAATCTGACGAATGTCCAAATCCAACGGGTCTCAAATTACACCCGTGGCAAATCCCGCACCATCACGCACTCGATAAAAACCCATCTGTCCTTGTTGTTGGCCGATGTGGGCTTTCTTTATCTTCTCCAAGCACATTGTCGGTTGTTGATACGTACACAGGAAAAGAGGCGAGGAATGTGGGGCCCGGGCATTCGACCGTGCAAGTTATTCCGTTACCGTTTAGTGATTCCAGCGAGCAGCAGCTTCATTTGCTGATTGATGATGAAAACCGCGTGCATTTGTACCCGAGAAGCCGTGAAGCTGTTGAGATCTTTCAACGGGAGTCTCAAAATGTGTATTGGTATGATGTGGAAGCTGAAGTTGGGATCTTGAGGGGGTATGGTGTGAAAAGAAGATGTGATGGTGATGAGTATTGTTTTGAGGCTAGGAATTTGTGGTCGGTTGTGTTCCCTTCAGAATCGGAAAAAATCATCTCCACTGTTTCAAGAAAAGGAAACGAGGTATTTTTTGTTTATTTAGACTCAGACTGATATCAATGGGACAAAAGTTACAATAAGGCAAAGTTGAAGAACGTTTTTATAATTATTCAGGTGGTGCACACACAAGCAAAGGTGATTGCAGATGAGGATGTGATGTATAAATACATATCTAAAAACATTCTGTTTGTTGCTACTGTTTCACCGAAAGCGAGTGGTCCAATCGGGTCAGCAACTCCAGATGAATCATTGCTGGTGGTCCACCTTGTGGATACTATAACCGGTCGCATACTGCACCGCATGAGTCATTTAGGTTCACAGGGTCCCGTGCATGCAGTGAGTATTAATTAATTAATATTATTATTATTTTTACATTAAAAAAAAAAGGTATTTATTTATTTATTTATGCATATCTTTCTTTTGAAGGTCCTTAGTGAGAACTGGGTTGTCTACCATTACTTTAACTTACGAGCACATAGATACGAGATGTCTGTTATCGAAATTTATGATCAATCTCGTGCGGTACTGCTCCTAATCTTCTATTTTCTGTTTTATTTTCCCATTATTTGGTATGCATTGAAAATAAAGATTTTACTACTATTTGCAGGAAAATAAAGATGTTTTGAAGCTTATTGTTGGAAAACATAACCTCACGACACCTGTGTCATCGTATTCTCGGCCTGAAGTTTCTACAAAATCACAATCTTACTTCTTTACTCATTCAGTCAAAGCTATATCAGTGACTTCAACTGCCAAGGGCATAACTTCTAAGCACCTGCTTATCGGCACAATTGCTGATCAGGTATTATTATATAACATTGTATATTTTATATTTTTGTTATAGGAAGAAAACAAACCAATGAAAGTGTATTGCTGTTTCTTGCATTAATTACATGCTTATATTTATTTGTAGGTATTGGCTCTTGATAAGCGTTTTGTTGATCCACGAAGGTCACTTAATCCCACACAAGCTGAGAAAGAGGAAGGTCTTTTACCTCTCACAGATACCTTACCCATTATTCCACAGGTCAGTTTATTCCCCTTGAAATAAATTATTCATAAAAAAATATTTGAGAGAATGACTGACTACACACGTGGAAATAGAAGAAAGAAAGAACATATGATATGATTCACTTTTTTTTTTTTGTTTTGTTTTGTTGCAGTCATATGTAACACATGCATTTAAAGTGGAAGGTCTTAGAGGCATAGAAACGATACCTGCAAAACTGGAATCAACAACCTTAGTATTTGCATATGGAGTGGATCTCTTCTTCACACGCCTTGCACCTTCAAGAACATATGATTCACTTACTGAAGATTTCAACTACGCATTGCTTCTTCTCACCATTGTTGCTCTTGTTGTCGCCATTTTTGTCACATGGGTTTTATCCGAAAGGAAAGATTTGCAGGAAAAATGGAGGTAGTAATAACCTTACTGTGTTTTAGATCACCTCCGATATTTTGCCATTTCTTTTTGCTTTTACTAGTGTACTAGTGTTAGAGTTGAATTCATGTTGGATGATAGAAATTTACACAGTTTTTTTACTCCTTTTGTAATTTGATGGATGAGATTTGGTTACAAGATACACCCCTAAAACTTATTTCCAACTTTCTCTTATTGTGTTGTGTGGATGTTCTTTTGGCATATCATAAAGCCTTTGGTCATGCTCCTAGACTGTATCAAAGTTGGTTGCAGTGTGGGGGTTTCAGTTTCAATGTGGACCGAGACGGTAGCCTGGACTCTTATGCTAATTTAAATCCCAAATGTTGTTTTTGGAAGGAGTGGTGTGGGATGATCTTAAATGAGTTTATAAATGTATGTTTAGTACATCAAGTAAGTCAAGTAATTTTAAACTGATTTAACATTTTTTTGATGTAATGTCACTTGGGTCTAAAGTAGCGTTACGTTTGTGCAGTAGATGAATATCTCCAACTTTTATATTGCTAGATGTATATATAGCTACACCAATAAACATAGCAGTTGAAACAACTTAATTTCAGTAGTTGGTATAGCACAAGTTTTCATCAGGACATATAATTAAAGTTATTTGCCAAAATCTAAAATATCTTTAAGAGTGCTGGTAAAATCCACTTTATGAGAAGATAGATATCTATTAGATCCTTCTAGAGATAGGCAAAAAAGAAGACCGGACCAGTTCATCAAAAAACCGGTTTATTTGAAATTTTTTCTAAGGTCGTCCGGTATGCCTACGACGGACGCCTCCGTGGTATATGTGGCCACGAACAACGAACTTGCACACCAACCCGATATGTCGTTGTGGTCGTGGTCGTTGTGGCTCGTGTTGGCTACGACAAGAGAGGACGACCGATGGGGGGCTCCTTTCCTTCCATCCGTTCAACGGTTGAATTTTTGATATATATATATATATATATATATATATATATATATATATATATATATATATATATATATATATAGGGTTAGGTTCATGTGAGACAATAGTATTTTGTGAGACAAGGGGACCAAATCTTGACCACTCATCTTGAATAATCTAAGGCTAGAATTAAATCAGATTACACCATAAGGAAGCACAAGGAGACGGTGGCATTTTTGCAATTAAATGGAACTTCAGGATTAGAATAAGGGCGCGGAGGGGCAATAAGGGGATTTTACCGTCTATTTCATTCAGGCCGCAATAACGTTTTATATCCTCTTCAATCTTCTTCATTCTGATCGGCAAAACCCTAAGTAACCTCGATACGAACACCAAAATTCGTCTTATTCAATCTCGATCATCAACATCTTCTGCTTCGTTCTGATTTGAATTTTCAACATTGTTATTTTGATTCTAAAATCGGATCAAGTTCTTGAGCATCAACATTCCTGAATCAAATGAAATCGAAGCTTAGTTTTACAACAAATGGATCATTCTACAAAATCGGATTTATATTTTGCATCTAGAGTTAATCCATGTGACGTATAATACTATAATTTCTTCTTGATTTTATATCTGTGGGTGATTTTAAGTTAAAATATTCTAATTGTCGATTTTATTATATGTATGTGATTATGAGTTGATGTATTCATCTTATCATCTATGAGATTTCTTCTCATTCTGATTCTACTTTGCACTGTTCTTCCAAAACCCTCGATAAAACCCTAAAAATTGATTATGATTCACTGTCATTTTGATTTTCAACGTGATTCATATTCTGATTTTGAATCATGTTTCCGCCGATCCTTCAACTGCTATTTCTTCTCATGATTCTTAGTTGAGGAAGGATTCAACTGCTATTTCTTCTCATGATTCTTAGTTGAGGAAGGATTCAACTGCTATTATTTTACTATGTTATTATGCATAAATGAAGTTATTCACAAAATCTGTAGAGATATTCCTGGAATTTGAATTATAATTGGATTCAAGATCTTAGTTTGTTTGGTTTATCTTATTAGTTTCATACTTCTAGTGTCAGTTAAGTGTTTGGTAAATTTAGTGATCTCCCGCTAGGTGTTCGACATAATGCACTCTGTATTGATTTAATATTTTTTGCAAGAAAATTGTGATTGAAAATGATAGAATGTAGTAGATGGAAACATAACTTACTTCCTAATTGATTTTAGATGTTATTTTGTTTGAGTAATTGGATTATCTAGTAAATATTTAGTGAAATATTGTTTGATAATTTGATATTCTAAGTATTCTGGTTTGATAAGTAATATGGTACTTCTTAATTTGACTCAGATGTTACTTTGTTTGATAAGTTAGATGATCCAGTAAAAATATTAGTAAAATAGTCTTTGGTAACTTAATATTCTAGGTATTCTGATTTGTAAAGTTAGGTGTTACTTCATAAATTGGATTTAAGATGCTATTTTATTGATTAACCAGATGTTACTACTTACTTTGATAAGTCAAAACTAAAATACATTTTGAGAATTTGTTATTCTATCCTGACATAATTGAATTCATCTCTTTATGTTTTAGTTCGATAATATTTGATTTAGATTTAGATTCTACATAATGTAGATTCTAAATCATCTATTTTAATAGGCTTTAGGAAATTGTTATTCTATTTATTGTAATTTAGGAATTATTTTTCTGAAATTTATATTGTAGCTATGGTTAGTGTTTGATCAAGATTCACTATAGTTTGGGCTAGAAATGAACTTCTTTATTGTAGTTTCGGTTAATATATTTGAAATTATTTACTTTAGCTAGGATTAGTGTTTGATACACATTGAAAGCTAATGAAATTGTTGGTTTAGGTTGGTGGTGTCTTTTAACCTAAAGGTCAGATTAGTTAGGTTATCTGATCTTTTGTATTTTATATAATATTAAATCTCTTGTTTGCATTGTACTAGATATTACTAATCGAAATTAAAGGAAGATAAACTTTATTTGGAGTTAGTACCATGTGGACAATTATGTTCTTTTGTTATTATATCTCAGATTCTACTTTGTGTACTGTTAACAATGTCTTGCACATATTAGATTTGTGTAAAATTAAATGTGAAAATAAAATGCAATTCTTTAATTGTAAATTATTTATTAAATGATTTTCATGTTGTTAATTATTTTCAGAATGTTAGAATATTCTAGTAAAATAAATCATTTATTTATATCCTAGTTTTATTGTTTTAATAAAAGTATCTTTTATGTTTTGATGCAGTTGAAATGAAGAAATTACTAAATCAAGGAAAAAATGAGTTTTTTTTTATCCTAAAAGAGAAAATATTGAACAACTTCTATCATCAAAAATATATAAAGGCAACAAAAAGTCATACATCAGAATAGATAAAGGCAAAAAAGTCATACTTCATGATACCTCATCTCATAGCTCGTCATCTGATCAAGACGCGTCAACAGAATATGAACAAGTACATATGACATTATAGTTGTATTGTTGTAGTTTATGTCATGTAATATCAATAACATCTTTATCATATTACATGAGTTTATATTTAAAGTTTGTATGTATAACATTCTATTAAAATAATACTGTATGTTTTATAATATAATAAGTAGATGTATAATATTCTAATAGAATAATATTATGGGTTGTATGTTATCATAAATTGATATTTATGTATTGTTAAGAATTGAAGTCACAACTCATATTAAATTTTACACGTATAGTATATGATACTTAAAATCATTTGAATATTGTTGCTTATGTTGTATGATGTTGGTAGTTTAATAGAATAATGTTCTAGGTTTTATCTTATAAGGTTATTTATTACATGAAAACAAAATATATATGTTGAATATTCTAACAACATAATGTTGTATGCTGTATGTTTTTATAAGTGTAAATGTAGAATATTCTAATAGAATAATGTTCTAGGATATTCTAATCGATTCAAAGTTCGTTCATGATTAAACTTTGTTTCCAAACTCTCAAGAAAAACATGAAGAAATTGATTCTGATTCTTATTCTAAAAACCATGATTTCATTCAACCAAATCAAAGCTCGGGTACATCTGAGTTTGAATCTCTTGATTTCGATTCTAGCAATAAAAAATGTAGATTTCAACAACAATATGAAACCAATATCTCGTTTAGGTTTTTTTTTTTTTTTTTTTTTTTTTTTTTTTTTTTTTTTTACGATTATGATATCTATGAATTCAATGTTTATATTATTTTGATTTATGTATAATTCTTATTTCTATGAATCCATGGATTATTGATTTAATTTTTTCTAATTTGGTAACTAATGGAATCTCTTATATGTTGTAAAACATTAGAATATTACGGATGCATGATGTTTGTAATTAATCTAAGGTAGTTTGTTTTAGATTCGATTGATTTAACAACATGGTATAAGACTAGATATATGTTCTTGGTTTTATGGTTGTAAATATGTTACAATGAGTAATGTTTGTCGTTAATTTAAGATATTTTGTAAGAGAATATATTAGTTGATAATCTTCTGGTTATTACTTATGTACTGATCATGGATGGTTAGAATAAATCAGATTCCAATTCCATATTTTGATAATATTATGGTTTTTAAGTAGTGTATGATTTTGCTTAGAAAAAAGAAATAATGTAATGTTATTAAAATACATTATAAGAAAGTTACTTTCCAGTAAGTAGGATGAACTTTCTTTGGCAAACTTAGTAACTTATAATCGATTCTTATGTGTTATTAATGCGACATATGGAAATTTATTCTGTAATAGTAAGTGGAAATGTGAAATATTGACTTGGGTAAAGAAGGTTTTCTGCAGAATAAGAAGCATACAAAATTATGTTGCATGTATGCTGCAAAGTTTTATATACATACAATAAACAAGTACCAGAAGAAAGTAACTGACGAAGCAAAGGGATAGGGAAAGGTTGATAAGGATGGTCATTAAAAATGACGAGGGAATGGATCGATGCAAGAAACATACTGGAAGGACGTGAATAATTTTTTTGGAATATTTGAAAGTCTTTGATTATGAATGACATGGTAGTGTTTTGTTCGTTTGAATATTTGTTATCTTTTTTAGTTTTGAACAATATGTATGGTTGTTTCAATGGCCAGTGAATATTTCACAGAACAATAGTCATGGTTAAAAAATAGTTATGCTTTGACCAATCTGAAATAGCATGCGTTTATGATCAAATGTTCATTTTTTGTTATAGTTCATGTATAATATTCTAATAGAGT